GAGATGGGCAAACCTTCTCTCTGCAGAAATACTTCATCCGTGGGTCTAGAAAAGTTCCACATTGTCATGAAAATGCAAGGAAATGGGCAGTGAATTAAAAAAATGGACACCATGTCACTCTGACTTGTCTTCAATATGGATTAGTACCAAATAAATATACGGTATTTTCAATTACATTCCTGTTTTTACAGCTCTTTTGTTTGGTAAAGATTTATTGATAGGCACACATTTCTTTATGTTATTTCTAAATAACAGAACCTGCGCCAAAACAAGAGCTTACCTTTTCTGACAACAACATCAAAGAAGCCAAGGAATTTATATGGCTAACAGCTCCACAGCATCTTCCCCTTATAACTAACCTCATCAGATCCCTCAACTACCAACTCTACCAATTCCTCACTTCAGAGAAAGATAAAAAACTCAATCATCTTCTACAGAAAAAGACCATCAACACCCCCACCACCTCAACCAATCCTAACCTTGTTGTTACCATACCCTCTGACCTTTCCCTTTCACAGGATGAGTGATCTCTTCTTAGCAAAGGCCTCGGTTTTGTTCCAGTCCTGTAGAAGCTGGACATCCCACAAACCCAAGTTAACCTCAACCGTTTTCACCCCGAGATTTGGCTCAAAGCTCATTTTGCTGACGACTCCTCCTCACCGGTAGCGGACATAAACCCGTCACTGATGCCATTTACAATATCAATCCTAAACGGACTTCTTGGACTACCCCTTCCGTCTGTTTTCCACCACTTCATTACTTTATTAACCAATGCAACATTCAAGTTCCCAAGACCCTTTCCACACCCAGGAAACACAGGTCTAACCTCACCCAAGGAGAAATTCAGGCACTCCAATCTCTCCGCAACAGGGATGACATTGTCATCAAACCAGTGGACAAAGGAGGAGCTGTTGTGGTGTGGCAAAAAGACATGTACATTAAGGAAGCCTCCAGACAATTAACTAATACTTCTGCCAACCGTCATCTCCCACAGGATTCTACCACTGACTACCAGAAGGAAGTGGTATCCACTATCTCTCTTCTTATCAGCAACTAGGAGCTCCCACAGGAAATAACCGTCTCATCGTCAAACATCCCCAGGTATCCCAATTGTATCTCCTTCACAAAATCCACAAAGCCGACACCCCTGGATGCCCCATTGTCTCCAGCAACTTCATTTACTGTGTCTCCTGCTAAAAATGCCCAGTTACTTACGTTGGGGAAACAGGAAGGAGATTAGGACACCGCTTCAGAGAACATGTTAGGGCTGTGAAGATTAAAGATTTCTCCAAGCCCATAGTTTCTCATTTCACCTCAGACAGCCATGATCACACTAATCTCAATTCAATTCAAGGTGCTTTATTAGCATGACCAATGGGTACAATCAGTGTTGCCAAAGCAAATAAAAATAATAAAATGAACATGGAACAAAACATAAAATAAAAGTAAAATAAAATCTACAGACATATTACAGACATTCACAACAGAGACATGTAATAAAATATTTACATAAACTATAAACATATTGAGCATTATTGTGAGACAGGCTTACTGTTCCTCAGGCTGTGACAGGAGATCACACACTGGGCTGCCAGTTCAAATGAGTTCCCGCCTCTCTTTCCCAGTAGGATTGGGACCCGTTGTGATTCTGACAGGTGTGGGAACTCTGGGACTAGATTTCTGAATTTAGGGAAGACTGTTTCTCTAATCCCAGAGTATCTGTCACAGTGCACACTAATCTCTCTGTCTCTGTTCTCAAAGAAGGATTTCTCAACTCCCATAGCAGAAAAACAACAGAAACGAAACTAATCCTGAAACTAGGTTCACACCATCCCCCTTCTCTCCATGACCGACTTATTTTTGTGAAATCATCTCTATTCTATTGCAGGTTTTGACTTCACGCCATTCTTCACCCCTCTCCACTTTGCACTTCCTGAGTGGGATCTCTGCCCCTCTTGCCTCCTCCCCTCTCCCAGCTTTTGTTCTTCTGTGCTATTTAATCTTTGCTGTCTGTCCTGTCTTTCACACACCTGAAGAAGTCCCCACAGGCGAAACATTGTATTTTCTTTCTTCTCCTTTCAGCATGGAATAAACCTATTACTTGTTCCTTTGCATAACTGAACCTTGTTTATTTTATCTAAAAAATATCTTCCAAGAATTCAACATAAAGAATATGGTTCACTTTTATACCGGTGAAGCATAATATTTCCTTCTTTATCTTTATTTTTTTTTAACTTAAGTATACTTATTTTTCGTAAACAGCCAAAGAAAAAGCAAATGTAATGTTTCAGTTTTATAAGAACAAAGGGAGTCATTCTCTTTCATATCTAAGTGATGTACTCCCTTATATGCATAAAACATAAAAATATTTTAAATTATTGGTAAGTTAATATGTATTAGGAATGGTCCATAACTTTTCTTAATCAGTGTTCCTGTAAAGGGAGGCCCAGTAATGTCGTTATGATTTCATTCATTTATAATAGAGTTACATTAAATCTAACATAACTGCAATACTTTTAATATATTTTAAAACAAACACTTTGGGGGAAATCCATCCTTTCTTTAACCTTTTCTTGTAATTCAGGTTCGCAAGGGCGCCAGAGCCTATCCTGGCAAACAATGGGCACAAGGCAGGGTACACCCTGGAGACAGGGTGCCAGTCCATTGCAGGACAGACACTCAGACACAAACACAGACAGTCGCTCTTCTAGGAAATTTCCTAGAAGACAATTAAGCTATCAGTATGTTTTAAGACTGTGGGAAGAAACCCATGTCAGCATGGGAAAACATACAAACTCCATAGCATCCTAGCAATTGAATCCATGCCCCCCGCGTCACAAGACAGCAATGCTAACCACTGCACCACTGTGTCGCCCGCTTTCGGGAGATCAATCCGTTTTATTTGTAAGATAATTAATTGGGAACAGCACTGAATGAACGTTTGAGAAAATAGAAGTCTACCGAAAAAAAAACCTCAAAAACTGTTTGTTTACGAACACCCCACCAAAACATCTGTTCATATCATCTGGAAAAAAAAAAACTTTCTTGTGTATTTTTTTGAAACTCTAAATCACATACTGTATTTGTGAAAAGAACGGTGCTCGAAAGACCTCAAGTTTGCGAAGCGTGCTGTGCTTACGAGTCACAGCTATTAAAACCAACAAATCATAGTGCTAAACTGCAGCTGACACGGTGCCTCAGCGTTTGATATTGAAAGCAAAAGTAACTTTTTCAAAGTCTTATTCTCAGTTAATATTTCTGAATAAATCGGTCATAGCCGTACAAGCATAGACTCCTAGCAAAATATAGTCTTTACAGACTTTTAAAACGAAATCTCAGGCGTCTTTCTTAGAGGTATGCACGGTATCCCTAAAGCTGCAGGAAGACCGACGTAACAGGTGGAGCAAAAAGATATTCAGACTTTGTCACCTTATTCTCAGAGAAACATCCTCACCCGTCTATTCTTATAATATATTCAGTTCAGGCTAACGATCAAGCCTACAGTTAGCAAGCAACTTAAATTGCTTCTATTATTCATATGAAACGCTTATGCGCCCTCTAGTGGCAGAAAGGAACTAAAACCAAAACTGGTGAAAATTCTGAAAATCGAGTTATTACAACAACAACAACAACAACAACAACATCACTTTATTAACCCTTTACAATTTCTTGCATTAGGAATTATCTTTAAGCATACCCCAGCTTGGTATATAGGGAGACAGGGAGAGAGCCTGGGGTCAGAGCACAGGGTCTGACATTGTACGGCACCCCTGGAGCAGTTGGGGTTAAGGGCCTTGCCCAGGAGCCTAACGGAGTAGGATTCCTCTGCCGATTGCGGGATTTGAACTAGCAACCTTCTAACCTTCTGTGTATAACACAACTAGCGGTGTGCTGTTAAACATTAATAACTGTTCTGTATTGTATTATTTCTGAGAAAATTGTTTTTGATCCAGGCTGCTATGTTTTTTTTACACACACAGAGAGTCTTACAAAACACATAGAGATACATAAACAATTACAGTACAAATAAACATTAAATATAAAATAAAAATAACATTACATAAAAGACACATAGTGATACAGCAGTTGCCTTTACACTAATTATATAATTTAAACATTTGGTATATACATTTGTAAACTCTCTATTGTTTTCAATTTTGGTATCCAATGTTATTTAAAAAAAGATACTTAATATTTGGCAAAAAATATCCTATTTCTATTTCCAGCTCCGCCATAGACGGTCACAAGGCCGTTTGCGAAAGGAAGAGGGACTTCAGCGACAGGCCGTGCAACAAGCCGGCTGAAGAAAAATTCCTTGTTGCGTCAAAATGCACACAACTCAATGACATACGGGAAATCGGTGCAAAAAAGCAGACCCCACATAAATGGGAAAATGCGAAGAAGAAGATCCTATTTATATTTCCAAACACTTTAACGGAGTGGGGGACTGTTTTTGAAAGAAGAAAAGACTCAACCCTGGCGTCATCTGAAACTTTTGATAACATTTTGTTTCTCTTTTGAATTGTTATAGTGAGTTACCATTTTGACAGTCATTTACAAAATATTAAACATATACACACAGACTATATATATAGGATTCAATTCCTTCGTGAAGTTTGTCTTGTAACCATCCTGATACGATTATTTTATTCAAATTGCGATTCAAAACGTAAACTGAAAGGCAAGCTTCTACAGTATCTGAAGCTTTTTGTGTTTTGTATTTTTGGGGGGTTTGTGTAAGAATTCAGTTAGATTTACATGAAGCATCTCCCTCCGTTAAAGTCCATTCCTAAAACAACATTTCTCACGTGGCTTAAATAAAATGCATCCCTCAGTACACAGTTTAAAACCTAAAACCCGTCGGTGACTGCAACAATTCTGCTTTCGTTTTTAAACTAAGTCACTTGTTGAGGTTATCCAACCAGCGAACACCAACTCTACCCATTGTCATTGGTTACATTGAACATCCTCGCCGTACGGTGATGCTGTTATTCACAAAGACATTCCCGCCGAGAGCCAATCCACAGTCTCCGAGTATTGCGGAACTTGCTCGTTTGCAGCAACGTAAATCGAAGTGGAAAAGGGCCCAGGAAATATGTAGCTTCGGTGAATTAGGGCTCGGATAGAGACACGTTCAAGATGGTGTTAGAAAGCATTGCTAGAATCATAAAAGTCCAGCTTCCAGCCTATCTCAAGAGGCTACCTTTGCCAGAAACAGTCGGCGGTTTTGCAAAACTCACAGGTAAATATTGCATTCTTTGTTCGTTACCTAAAATCGCGTTATGCAAAGATAATTGTATAGCCAGGGAGCCGAGAGAGTTTTTTTTTACGCCATTCAGCTTTTAGTTTGACACGAAGTTTGTATTCGTAATTGTTTAGTATGAATAAGACATGTGCCGTACATTCTGTGACATTGTAGCACCACGAGATAAGAAACTGAATTATTTGACTTTTAAGGAAAAAAGAACAATGCATGAGGTTAAATAAGAACAATGAACTTCGCTTTAATAAACGACGGGTGCTATACTTAGCCAGTTAAGAATAGACGAAATACTGTACTGTACAGTATGTCTGGATAGATTTCTCAGAGGGTAATGTTTTACAGCCATATACAGGGAAGGTCAAATTAAATGTAATAATAAGACGTACTCGAACAGTTTTACATATCACTTTGGTTTGCAACCTTTGACTAAAATTAAAAGGATTTTACTTATAGTGCATGTTACTGATAACGTGTGGAAAAAACTGCGGAGGAAAACAGAAATTGGAGATCATTTGTCTTCTTTGTGAATTGGGTTACATCACGTAGGGACCGTTAAGTTAATATTTCCAGAAACCTTCAATAATAACTTTTAACTTAGCAGAAATGGTCGAATAGCATGTAGAAATTATTAATAAAAATAAAAATATGATCTAAATGCAAGTAGTTAAAGTTTTTAAAAGAAGTGGGAATAGATCTGTTATTACTTTGCTCAAGGGTCATTTTATGTTATTGCAGATGTGAGTTCTACCTGTTTCATGTGGAGGTTTCTAAAGAGTGCTGTGCCTGCACATCACTGTGGAAATATTAAATAATGGTTCTAATGTCCTTCTTGAATTACAAGATGAATTGAAAAAAAAAACGTTTAAAGTGGACTGTCACTTTTAATTCCTATAATTTGAAACTTTTATAATGGGGAATGGTAGCCAGTTCCAAATTACACGTCGCTGCAATATCTGCTGCTTGTTCAATTCTTAAAGCATGGTAACATTTGTTTGGCATGTGAAAGTGGATAATTGACTAGTGGTTAGTTAGATTTATAGATTAGTGGTTGTTTGAGGGCCAAGCTGAATTGCAGAGAACTGGTTTATGGCAGCTTGAAAAGAGAAACGACAACAACAAAAACTTGAGTTATGACTCTTGTGTTCAGCTTCACACTGATGAAGAATGTGTGCCATGATGAGAAGTAGAACAGTTTTTCACAGTGCCACTGTGGACAGTACCCCTGTCTCACGACAGTCGATGGAAGCCTGAGAGCTTCTGCAGTTGCAAGTCTGTACTGGGCCTTAGTCTGATTTTCTGGTGCTGTAATACTTTTCACTGGCTAGGCTCTACAGGGGTTACTGCATTTCTGTGTTTGCTGGAACATCTCTTCTCTCTTGTGCCGGTCAAAAAAGGCAAGGCAAGACAAGGAAAGGTAAAAGCAGTGCTGTCAACCTTGACTCTTGTTGTCGATGTGGGCAGGAGATGACCGCCTTTACAGGGGATAAGAAAGCAGGTTCTTTTAGTTCATTTCATGTTTGCTGTACTGCTTTGAAAGATAAACAGGTACTGTAGGTGGGTGAAAGATACGATCAGGCAACACAAAGTGATTCGGAGGGCAACGACGTGCTAACATTTATTACTTGTCTAGAATATATTTATCTTATTTTCAGAAGCTGTCATGCTTAAAGCTGTGTTCCCAGGATAACACGGCTATAAGCATACATTTTTGGTATTAGTGCCAAATAACTCTTGAGGTTTTTGCATGTTAGTTTATATTAGGCGATCATATGTGCTCAATTCCAACTTAGGTCTGGGTTCCTAAGTTTCAGATAAAAAACATCTGTATGACTCAGCATGTCCAGACTTAAGAAGGAGAGCAATCTTGAATGAAAGCATGTGACTGGCGTGGTATATAACAAATGCTGTTTCATAAGACCAGCTAAAAAAAACCCCGTCATGTTAACAGCTAATGATTTTAACTCTTCATTTTCATACACTAAAGTTGTTCTAAACTTTTTTTTAACTTTTAAAGATTTATTTTCAACATCTAAGAACATACTTTTTTTTACCTGATTTAAGTTGTATAAGAATAAGCAAAAATGGGTACATAAAGACAACTTGTGTGGTGTTGTTTGTGAGTGGTGACATAATAGCAGTTAATTATATAAATGAATAAAATTCAGCAGCCTTGATTATATGAACGTGGATTTTTATTCAGCTTATTGGTAGGGGCTCAACTGGCATTAAAATGTCTCCACCGAGACCTGTAATGCGTTATTTGTTTCTCCCTGTTGAAAAGAGGGTGTTTTTAGGTTTTCTTCTGAGTTTACATTTCCAAAAGATGAGTGGACAGCCCTCCTGTGTCCTCTCGACCAGTGTCTTTCTAATTGAATCACCTGCAAATTTGAAGGAAAATGATTAAAATGATAGAAATAACCAAAACAAATCATAAGTGCTAATAAGCTGTATTTAGACCATTTCTAAACTATTGTTCATTTATTCTTAAAACCAAATTGCATGAAAAAATAACAGCCAAAATCAAGCCAATGTTCCCAAGACAAGGAAACCTTCTTAATTACTAATCGTATTTTAACACGATTAATGGTGAGATTATAAAATGAAGCAACTAATGTTAATACAAAAATGCCTATTGTTTTTTAAGAGGTTTAGAAATGCAGGATTGCACGTTACAGATTAACCCCAAAATGTATTGTCTGCGGCAGGAGAAAACTAATAATAACTGTATAAAACATTAAAGGGGAACAGCTAGGTTCAGTAAAATACAGTAGAAGGCAGTAGTGGCAGAAAAGATAACATTTTGTTATATAGGTTATATTCTTAAGTTTCAAACTTCATTTCCAAGATACAGCAATGCAACCTGCCTGTTTACCTTATTCACCTTACGATGCAATTGTAATTTGCATTATTAAAGATAATACATACGACATGACCACAAAAACAAATCTAACTCCCATTTAAATCCTGTAGTGTTCTGAGTTTGAGAATGTGGGGAATTGTTTTTAAAAAGGCCCTGTTTAAGTCAGAAATTGAACCGAATGGGCAGAAATAAAGATTTCACGTCTGGCAAAATGCTTGTTGAAGCTGTAAAATCTGTATTCAGTTCAGGATACTGAGGTGTGAGATGGAAATCTTCAACAACAGCATAACCACAGCTTGTCCAGGAGTTTTAAGACTGAATTGATCCACAATAGGTAAACCTAGCCAACACTTCTGAGTGGTGAGTCCTCCAGTTTATCTGAAAGGGTTTATCTTCTCCACAGTTGAGAAGTGGACAGAGAAGTTTAAGTTCTGCATATTCCTTTTCTTCATTAAACAGGAAGTTTCTAAATGTGTCTAAATGTTCAGGAATCAGAATATGTGAACATAGCAGGAATGAGCAAAAGCAAGAATAACATCCCCTTTAACCCCCTACTCTGTCTGAACGTCACTTGCTCCTTTCAAACTGTTAACTTATGCAGTGTCCCTTTCTGTGTTTTTGAGCACAGCTGAGCTGTAAATATTAGCTGTAGATAAGATGACAGCATGACTGTTAAATTTTTCTTCACACGTACATCTTTTGCTAACTCCTACCAATCTCTAGCTAATTTTTAAAACTGTGACTGTTTGACTGTTGCATTATTTCATGTTTTTTTTTTCTGCTTCAATAAAAAGAAGTTATTAGTCTCCAAAATGCATTATAGTGAGTAATAACTGTAGGAGAGTAAAAACATTTTGCCTTAATAATTTGGCAATGTAAAATACTGTTTACAAAAGCACACATTAGCAAAAAAAAACCAAATAAAAATACAGTAAGTGAAAAATACCATTTATACTACCACATTAATTTTGCTGAAGACCACCCATTCAATACATTTTGCAAAATACTTTTCTGTTTTCTAGTTTTCTACTCTGCTGAGTGATCTATTTGCTGTAAAAGGACAGCAGTTTTGCTGTGGTGCATTTCTGTGGACACTTGATTTAGAAAACAAACATATTCAGGTATACAGAGCTATGTTCAGTGCATTTTATTTTCATTCCATGCAAATTAGGAACTGCAGCACCAGAAGAAGGTGTGCCCATTATAATTTTCAGCTAAATGAAACAAATAGTAGATGCAGGCAGATGGTTCTGCTTTAGTGCTTTTTGCTATGCGCATTCACATTTGTTGCAAATTAAATACATAGAACTCTTTACCAATCAACAAAAGGAAACCACACCAGTGTTAGAATGCACCACCAAAAATAATACTTTGTGTACAAATGGCTTTTTTGCCATCACCAAGAAAATTGAAATTTAAGCCCTGCCTGCTGTTCTCTGTTCAGTGTCAGAGTGGTTACGGCTGCTGCCTCTTCTTGGGATTCTTGCCCTGCTGGGTTACCTCACCATCCGCCCTTTCCTGCCCAAGAAGAAAAAACAGAAGGATAGTCTAATCAACCTGAAGATTCAAAAGGAAAACCCTAAAGTCGTCAACGAAATCGACATTGAAGATCTAAAAAGCACAAATGCCTGTTACTGCAGGTGTTGGCGTTCCAAAACGGTGAGAAGTTCTTCTTTTCTGATACATCAAACACTCAAGACTAACCTCTGTGTCTCCTGGGGATAGAATGATGTAAAAGGAATAAGCCTCATAATTGTAGTGTAAACCTTTTCTGTCTGAAAATAAAAGTTAATTTTATGTCTTTTAGAGAATGAGAGGTTGTTTTCACATGGAGTTGAAGACAGCCCATATTACTGAGTTCTTTTAAAGAATATTTATTTCTATTTTGTTTAAAATTGTAAATGCAGGACTCATCTTGTTGAGCTTGCTTTTCTCATGAAATTATCACTTTTGTTTTGACTTCAGAGCTATTTGCTGATTCATTTTGGAAGCCTTGGGGTACTGCATCTAATCACAAGGCTACGCCGTGATTCGTCTGTCAGAGCAGTATGACTTCAGAAAGTTGAAACAAATGCTAGATTGTCATTTCCTTTATTTTTACAAGTGATAAAAACTTAAACAAAATGGATTCTAACTCATGTCAAGCACTGCTCTCCACCCTGTGTCCCTCAAAATGGTTTTTGTTTGGATTCAGAAAGGGCATGCACAGCATCAGTAAATGAAGAAGTGAGCCAATTCAGGTTGAATAAGTAACGTACACTGGTAGTGAAGCAAACAACACAGATAGACTATCTATCCAGTTTCTAAATACATATTCCAATTCAGGGTTGCAGGGGAGCCTGAGCCTCTTCTGGCCAGCAAAGGCTAAAAGGCAGTGTACCCCGTGGATGGGATGCCGGTCCATTGCAGGGCAGACACAGATACAAACATGCACACGTTCACACCAGGGCCAGTTTTCACAGAACCAATATGTTTTTTGGACTATGGGAAGAAACCAAAGCACCTGAAACAAGCAATCATGGGGAGAACACGCAAAGACAGCACGCCAGGTCTGGAATTAAACCTAGGGCCCCAGCACTGTGAGGCAGGAATGCTGACCCCTGCACCACTGTCCTGCCACTACAAATAGACTGAATTAAAAAACATAATTGTAGCTGGCTTTGAAATGAGAAGTCGTTCTTCTTTTGTTACATTTATGGAAACACATTTGTAGTGTCCCTGTCTTGGAGGAAGGGTGTATTTGCAGATGTTCTTTATTCAGACACCACCACCTGAAGAGCTCAGTGATTTTGGTCAATTATGTCCGATAACATGCTGATGGAGGTTATTAAAAGCAAAGGTGAGCTGTAGTCCTACTAGCCCTCCAGTTCTGAGAACCTTGATATTCACTAAAAAGGGAATTCTATCTGCTCTTTTAACAACTGAAGTATTTACTGTATTTGCTGGCTTGCAATACAGATTACCTGTGTGTTTCAGGTCAGGCTTTCTGTAGTACAAATAAAAAATCTTTTTGTATTTGCTTCAATTGAAATTGTTTTTTTTTTTAAATTTGAGGCCTTACATCATCCACATTTGATGTGTATGATCTTTTTATCCATTTGTTTGGTTTCCAAAGACAGGAGGGAAACAGCCAAATGCAAAACCTCCAGTTGCTTTTCATGAGAGCTTTTAGATTCAGCTGTGTGAAGGAGAGCAGTGAATTGTAGGCCAAATAGCTTTCTCTGCCTTTTCCACAAGTAGAGATTTGTTGTTGATTTGCTCTAAAGTGTTTCTAAATGCTCAGATTTTCTCCGTTCTACAAATTCTCACTTTGCACATTTGCAATCAAGTGTTCTGAAAAATGGCACAGAGTGATTTATGCACCCGTTTGTTTAAAGGGATTTTGTTTTTTGATGTCACGGAGAGTAGAACTTGTTGATTCCAAGCCTTCCTATGGTTTGCTCAGAATTTAAAAAACTAGTTGCTTCATTTATTTCTTTTACCTAGAAATGGAGTTGGATCTGCTTTATTATACTGATCACCAAAAGAAACAGATTAAAACATGGAAAGATTGGAGATCAAGTTTTACTCCATGTTATCATTTTCAAAAGTGTAGCATAAGCATGAAAGTCTGTAGAGGGACAACTTCTTGGTCTGTGAAATACTTTTTGTGGCATATAGAAAAAAACATTGCGGTTGTTTCAAGATTCTTGATATTGCCCTCTACGGTATTTTAACGTTTCCACTCTATATCTAGAATAGGTGTAAACACAGTGAAGTTAATAAGACACCACAAAAACACCCTGTAATATACAGTCCCTTGATTTATGTCATACTGGCCACATCAAAGCTGTATTTTAGAACAAATTCAGTGTATATGGCTGTCATGTCCCGACATATTCAGATACCTGAGGTGAAAGCAGCTTGCAGAGTTCTCGTATACTAATTTAAAATCCAATTTAATAAATGTTCAGTGCATTCTGTAGAATGCTTGGACAGAGGGAATGTATTGGAAGCTACAGGTCAATTCTGAAGAAAGTGTGATCTTTTTAGTTTTTTTTAACTAAAATAAGAGAAAAGATGTATTGAAAAGACATTTAATCATGAATAGTTACTCATGTTGCTTCACCTCAGCATTGTAGTAAGGCTTAAACTGGTTGGAGCCTGTGCATTGTACTGTCCTTATTAATACATTTTGGTTTCTCTGCATATTTTACTTTTAAAACAGCCATTGTGGTTAGAGGTCACTCTCTTGTTGGAATTGTAAGAGATGGGTATGGCCGTGTACATTTGTGATTATAACAGAAGGATTCTAGTTGGCTTTTGGCTTTTTAACACCACTCTGTTCCATTTGCATTATCGGCTTTTTAACACTTTTTTTCTTTCCTGTTTCAGTTTCCTGTGTGTGATAAATCGCACATAAAACACAACGAGTTGACAGGGGACAATGTGGGACCGCTCATTCTGAAGAAGAAAGTTCTATAATCCATCTTGTCATCACATTATGATCCTTAAGGTTTTTGTGATTGTAGCTATTTGTTTTAATTTTAATTTGTATTTTAATGTTTTTGCACCTCTCTGTACTCCCCTTCAGATAATGAGAATCAATAATTGTGGCTAATGTTTGATTTTGTATAAATTCACATGTTCGGATCAAAGAAAAAGATACATGTCTGGATTTCGAAGGCGTCAAAGTTCGAACTGTGTTTTGTTCTTCTGCCTCACTGGGCTGTTTTGGAAAACATTTGTAAAATGTCGAAAAATTTGTTGAAAAATACATTCTTTTTGTCGAATGTCGAAACTTTTAAATTCACACGAAATCCAGTCTTTTAAACTTTGACATGATGATGATACATTTCACTGCCTTTGTCAAAAATTTTGGAGATGTGTGGCCAAACCACATTCCTATCCACTGCATTTTGGAAAGGCAAGCTGTATAAAAAAAACTGCACTTTTGAGGTGGACTAAGGTCCTTGGGCTCATTAGCTGCGGACATTAAATTTCAAAACTATTCCAAGATTAGTCAGTAATGACGCAAATTAAAACTTAAGATCCTGGGCAATAACCCTTTCATCACTACCTGTAGTTGCTGTTGGGGATCTTTTTTCAATTAGAGGGCATTGACTTTATAAAAAGGCAGTAAAGTGTTAAATCCATCAATACCACCACAGTCTCTATCGCTTCAAGCTAGTTAAAATAATACTAATTTATTTCCACTCTGATACACTAGATGTAAGTGAAGCTGTAGCTGTTATAAATAAGCACCAAGCTATTTCATTAGTATGTTTTTGGTGTTTTGTGCTAATGTTTATTACAGTGGTGAAAACAGCTTCCTTACATTTCCTTTTAATCTTATTTAAAGATGCCTAAGACTTTCTAAAGGCATTTTTTAACCTTTTAGTAGTTCCAGAACAGCAGGAAGGAGAAACAAAAAGGAATGGGTTATACAAGTTAGAAGCAGAAAAGCTGTGAGGAAAATAAAAAAAACATCAGAACTCCATATTGAAAGCTAGATGTGTAATCACGTTTTTGTCTTGTATATCATAGCAATTCTTTCCATGAGTCCTGAAACTGTCCATCTCTCTCTGACTATATTCTGGAAGCACTGTTACAGTCTACCATTCAGTTGTTATTTTTTGGTTTCAGTCTTGTGTGTCAGATTCCCAAGTTTATTTGTAAAAGTTAAAAGGTAAAAACCAATACTATTTAAGAACACATGTCAGATTCTATGCTGATTCAACTAATTATTAGCTTGATATGTTCCATGATTAAATAATTGTGTAAAAAAATAATAGAGAACAATGTTTAATAATAAAAGTGTTTACATCAAGTTTTTTTTCCATTTTAATTTTGATCATTTGTGTGCTGAATTTTAAATATGATAAATTTACCATTTTCTAAAACTGAGGACTGCATAGCAAAAGTTTTGTTTTCCTGTACTACTTTGTAACGAGTTGACTGGCAGTAAATGACCAGAATTTCATGAATTGAAAAAGAAAAGATGTGAAAAATGTGAAAGCATAAACACAGATTATGTACTTTCCTCAGTTAATCTTCTTAGCCTAATAACAGTCAGTACATTTGGCACAAACTGTAGCATTCTGAAAGAAAGGGGAAGGGGATCTCTGAAGGGCTGCTCAGCTCAGACGGACTGAGGGAATTGCTCACTTCATCAACCACTTCTAATAAAAAATTGCCAGCAGCCTTATCACCCTGCAACTCACAACTGTCAATGCACTGCAGCTAAGCAGGAGTGAGCCTCATGGCCTCCTAATAATCCCTATCTCTGAATTACCAGACTATGGCTGCCGTTGCATCATCCAGGTGGGGCTGCACATTGGTGGTGGTCAAGGGGCGCCCCCATTACCTGTAAAGTGGTGTGGAGTGTCCATAAGAGTGCTATATAACTGTAAGGAATTATTATTGAAACCAAACAGTTCATTTCTAAAGCAAAGTCTGTGGAAAACAAATAGAAGTCACTTTACCAGCCATACAACAATAAAACAGGAATGTTAGGAAATATTGATAATTACAATATTACATAAATTCACAATTGACAAGAGACATACTGCAAAAATGACATTTTTCAGAACATTTAAAACATTCCCAGTGACAACAAACTGTGAGACAGATCATTTGTTTCCACCACTTCTGCAGCTCATTCCCTTGTTTTAGAGATGAGTCTTCTAAATGCTGAGCAGCTAGTGAGGGGATGTAAAGGTTCAGAAGTGAAACCTTAAAACCAGCTCTCCAGTCAGATCTATCATTGTCAGGGCCTTCACTGCTACAAGCTGAAGTCTTACCAGTTATTTTTTCCAGCTACCAATGCATAAGGGCCATTACAATGAGGATAAAGATTCATAGGTTCTCAAAAAAGCTTTGAAGGGTGTTTAAACTACATACAGCAAATACAGAGCCCTGCCGTACATTAAAAAGTGCCACCTCCAACTGCACAGTACATATTCAGTATATCCCTTTATGATCCTTATTTTAAAATGAGAAATCTGTTTTATATATTGACAGCAAAGTTATTGATGCCTCTGCCACCTTCTTTTTCTGCTACCTTTGCGTACAACTCTCACACTGGGCCTTGGCCTCATGTACACATTGTCTCATTTCGCAAAACCTCACACACAGCCCTCTCCCGGCCCTTCTGGAAACTAAGAGAACTACATTTCCTGAGGGACAACAACATCCAAGAATCGGATGCTTTACTGTGTGAATGTTTGCATAGGTAGGATGTATTTGGCTTAACCCACTTGGTAAAGGGACAGCACCCCTAGCCACAGGAAGAGGAGGCTCAAACCTTTACATAATTACATAACACAACTGCTCTATTTTCACACTGCCTGTGTACAGTTTTTATATGTGCCTGATTTTTACATGAACTTACCATCCATTCATTTTCTAACCAATTCATGGTATTGGGGGATCCCGAGCTTATTCTGGCAAGCAACAGACACAAGGTGGGGTACAACAAGGACACTTACACTCACTCAGTGAGTGCTGATAGGAGGAAACACAGAGAACACATACAAACTCCACACAAAGACACTCCAGGAATTGAACCCAGGGCCCCATCCCTGCAAGGCAGGGATGATATTCATTGTGCCACAGTGCTGCCCACTTACAGGGCTAACTAAATAAGAATAGTAAAGAACGTCACGGTGACTTCTAATTGAACTCATTCTTGTACCAGAATGTGTCCATTTAAAAGACGATCACCAACAACACCTTATTCATAATACTGCCTGAATGTGCCATTGTTTTGATGTTACTGATAATTTTGCATCCTATTGTTTGGTTCCTCTTTACATTGCCTCAAACGTGTTTGTTCAGGAGGTGTAAGAACAAACCTCCATTCAAGTTCTGTTTGTTTATTTGGGTATTTTATTCCCAGCCAGAAGTTATCAGGATATCAAATTTTGTCAAATGTACATGCATTTACATGTATTTTCATTTTGATGTATAAATATTCAAAATATGACTGTGAAGATATGCTTTTGAAAACAGAGTGTCAGGATGTAACCGTCGTCATGTTAATGTTTCCAAGACAAGTTTGCATTAATTGTGTGTAACTCTGCCAGGAATTATAGGAGAGCTATAACCATGGTACTACTGTATGAACCATGTATGAACTGTGTACATCTGGTTTTTTTACAGGAATGCGCAGAGTGTAGCAGAAGCAGTAGTGAATTATTTTAGTGAGGCTTGTAGGCTATGTAATTTTCAGGTCCAGACACCTCATGAATATTACTTTCAGGCTACATCAAGCATCGTGGTAGATGCTACATGATTACTGCAGACATGATAAAGTATGTCTTTTTCACTTTTCATGTTTTCCATTGCATCACACTTTGTTACATACAAAAACACCTTTTGAATCCGTTTCTGATAATGATTATATTTAGGAACTGTATCATGTTTAGGAAAATAAGCAGTTTACAATCCTGTGTAATCAAATCATTTACATAGAGAAAAAATCCAAACTTTGTGCCTAACATAAATATCCCCTCCCGTTGAAGTCAAACTTAAGCTTGCAAAATGCTTTAAGTGTGAAACACCACAAATGTGAAAAGTAAATGGTTGAATTAACTTGAATTGAATTACAAAACAGTGATCAATTATTTTAAAAATTCACCTTTATTTATATTTAAAGCTCTGAACCTTATGCATATCCCAACTAAAACACAGCATTAAACAACATTCCATTCAGAAAACAATTATACTAAAGATAGGTCATATAGAGGCTATATATTTTTCATACAAGAATGATTTACAAAATATTTAAAGTAAAAAGTTGATTAAGTTGAAAGACTTCAAACCACCTGTAATTATCTGCTCTTTGAGCTCTAATGAACATATTCAAACATATTCAAACTAAAAAGGAGAGTCAATAATTAAAACAGGTAACAATTAACTGAACTACTGAACAACCATGAGCACATTTCTCTGGTTCAGTATGCCATGTGTTTAATCAGGAAACATGCATCTATATTACTAAACACCCAAATGGTTTTCTTTTTCTTTGGATTTCAACACATGTTTCGGATATTTACAAGGTCTCCACATCATGTTATATCATAATTGTCTGCTTGAACAGGCTCTGTCTACCCAACAAACCTAAACTGGATTAAGTGGTTAGAAAATGGACAGATAAGTGGAAAATGCATTTCACAGGTATGAACTCCAGTAAGTAAAATGCTGGAGTGTACAAAACAAATAAATGCCATTTGAAATGCTCAGACCTTCTAAAATAATAATGTTAGATTAATTTGGGAAAGTAAAGTCAAGAGTCAAATGTTTCTATGCTGTCATATGTCAAAGGTACTGTATATGTAGCTAGAAAATAATTATAATGATGGGAGAAATAGTTTATTGAAATAGATTAAAATTCCAAGTACAAAAATATATACAAATGTAACTTTCAATAATACAGCAAGTACATTATTTAGACATATACACACAAATCTGTTTTATTACTGGACTATTGCAAACATATTATCCTGTTCATAAGCAAAGACCCTGAAATAAATCACTCAATCTTGTGGTTGTAATATGGCAGTTTGCAGTATAGTTGACCACTTTTTACATTTATTCCAAAAGAGAAACTCATTTTCTTATTATATGTATTTTAAATAATACTTTTTCCTGCAAGTTAAACATAGAAGGGAAATCTTGAAAGATCAGATCTTCATGTAGAGCAATTCAAATTATGATCTGTTTTATATTTTCTAAGAAAACCTCAGTAGTTGTAGTTTGGTTAGATCCTAATGAATGAGATAGAGGGACGGAACATATTGTGAGTATTTAGTGTGACAGCTATGAGAATAGACTTCCCAAACCCCCCTCACTATTGCGAGGAATGAGCTAAGGAGCTGCTGCAAGGGTGTAGTTTGGGTGCTGGGGGGATGTGACAGAGATATGCAAACGGAAGACCTGGGTGTGAAACATATATGTAGGCGAGCAGAAGTATATTCGATTAGGATCTAACCTTCCCCCTGAACTTCTGTTATAAACTCAACCAAGTATCAACTCCTTTTATTTTTTTATTGATCACAATTTTTTTTAGTCTGTGATCCCCTTAAAAACTGCTACAATGTCGTTTTCTACAGCCTTTGAGAAACATTAAGTCTTAATGACTTCTTTAGGTAATATGCTTATAATAGCTGTTTTTTGCGGGCCTTTTTTGTCATATAGCATACCAACAGTGTAATCTTGTGACATTTTCATTTTACACGCAAAATTAATTTTAGAATAGAACCCTCAAAGTTGCTATCTGTTATTACTAAATATATTATTTTGTTTTAACATAAATGTTTTACAACTGTATTCATAATGTACAATTAGGACATGAAAAATAGAATGATGCACATCCATGCAGTTACATATTATAATTAAATGTTAAGTGTGTAATACCAATTTATTGCTTCCTGAGACAAAAAACATTATATTCAGTTTGTTGTCATTTTTTGGAAAGATTCAGTAAAAATGAGACATCTTGATGTCCCATTGCTATTTAAATGTCACATCTGAGAGTCACTGCACTGATAACTGTAAGTATGATCATACATCTCTGGAGAAACCCGAGATGGAAACAAACATTTTTCATGTCTTTTTAACGTTGCTTGTGTTTGACTGAAATCATTTCTAGATAAACATTAAAATCACACTTGTTGATTTTATATGTGGGAGGGCTGTAGCCTGTTTGAAGACAATATAATTTCACTTGAAAAGACACTTACTGGAATTGTCACTTCACTGAAGTGACTAAGCATGATGCAGTAATTCTCAAAATCTACAGTATCTCACCGAATTTCATCTACAAATTGTGCCCACTTAAAGATGTAAACTCAACCGCAGTTACTATAAGAATTCACTAAACTAAGCTGTTGCACAAATGATTTTAGAAACAAAATGTCAGACGACAGAGATGCAACTCTGAATCACATTCAATGCCAAAAAAATTCAAGCATTAATAATTTTTGCATGAAAATAAAAGCTGTATTTCCATTTCCAATTGGCTGGATGGCAAGTGGTGCAACTCTTACTTCAATTCACAGATTTTAACAGTCTCTTGACAGTATCCAGCTTCTTTACTTCATTAGTGAACCTCCTGGCTTCAAAATCTGCTCTCGTATGCCACAGACTGTTGTGGTTCATCTTCCTCTTTTGATTTACCTAAAATTTTAAAAACAATGCAAATTATTTCATTGTTAATGCCTTGGAAAACATGTGTCAAGAACTGTACTTGACTGTACACATTAGTACCGACAGAAAGAAATGTACAGTACAGTATGGGAGCTGTGTTATTGTTGGTGGTTTCATCACTGTACTGTAACTAACTAGTTAGGCCCCAGTGAAGTCCATTCCCTGCATCAGTACTCCATCATAATACAGAAGAGTTTATTGTGCTGGAGTGGCCATGAGAAATAAATATATATATTATATACATATATATATGTAACACACATTGAATCTCAGTTTCCATGGAAAAAAGATGGCTTCTAAAGCCATGCTCATGAACATCTGGTGTCAACTGGAGAACTACCTGTACACAATCCTCTTTATGACTAGTAGATGTATATATATCCATTTTCCTGTGTGTTTCTTCCACACTATGTACTAACATAACATCTGGCTGACAACACCTTAAATAATAATATACCCTGATATATCTTAAAAATTATTTTAGGAATTTAATTGTGTAAGAATATAGTATTAAGCCCTAAGAGTTTCATTGCCTGGAAACTGATATGTCAGCCTTTAAATGTTCAGTATTTATTTCTGATCATGTGATGATTCTGTAAGTTTATTTTGAGCAGAACTGGTCTGCTAATGAACCCCATAGCAATCTTTCAGTTAGGAAACAATATTAGTGACTTGTGCGCATGTCTTGATCGACCCAGTTTCTCACTGGAACATAACAGACAGGTGACATTGTTCTTTAGCCTGTTTCCGTTTCATTATTCCAATAACTTAATTCAGCCTCCGGTATCCGGTACTATCCGGTCTATGGGCTTGTGTTACTTTAGCCACATAGTCCAAGAACAAATGAAATAATTGATAAAAAATATCTAGGAACTTGTGTATTATCTGGAAAACAGAACTGCAAAATTTAAAAATAATAATATTTTATTTTATATGGCACCTTTAAAAGTAGCTACCAAAAGTGCTTTACCATAAGAAGGGGAAAAAAAAGCTAACAAGAAAAAGAGATATCAAAAGTAGCACAATTAAAAACAAGGAATTAGAATACAATTCACTTAAATGATAAGATTACAAATACTTACAAAGCATTACTTGGCCCTGCGAGCTAACCTAGAATTTAACTTCCACAGAAGTTCTGCTCTGTCGTTCTTGCCAGCAGAACACTTCGGTAAACAGAAACCTCAAAGAAACATGCAAAATCTGGAGCTGGTATCAGATGGAAACAAAGCGCCTGTCCCTAGGGAGCCTCACCTGCTTCACCTGCTTCCCCGTTCTCTTTGGGAGCCGCCCTAGGACTCTGCAGCAGCCTTGGTCCAGTCAGCCCGATGACTAGCGCTCCTATCGGTGCCGTGATCAGGATAGCCAGGAAGGCCACAGTGAGGACATCCATTCCATACTTCTCCAGCACTGGATCCTGTTTAGCTCTGGCAGTGTCCAGGGCAACTGAACCAATAGCAGCCTGCAGACATGACATTTTGCATACGTGCTTTTTACAAATGACATTTCTATTCACTCCTGTACTCAATTCAAACAGCATTCACTGTCAGGCATCATGAACTAGGTGCCATCGATAGCACCAGATTACTTTCCCCCCTTTGAATGCCCACTGCTAACCAAAGTTTTTGGTGGTGATCATGCATCCAAATATTTTCTGCACTGCTTTATCTAGTACAGGGTCACAGGGGGAGAGAGGGACTATCCGGGCAAGCAAAGGGTACAAGACAGGACAGGCAGGATGTCAGCCCAGCACAGGTCACACACATACACACTCTGACCACAGCCAATTTTCCTGAAGCCAATTAACATACTGGTATGTCATCTTTTGACAATGGGAGGAAACGTGGAGGAAAGCAATGTGAACAAGGGAAGAACCTAGGAACTCCACACAGATAGTACCCCAATAATTGAACCCAGGGCCCCAGCGTTGTAAAGCATCAATGCTAACCACTGCACCACCATAGTGTCCTCATCCAATTCAGGGCTGTGGGGGAGCTGGAGCCTATCTCAGCAACCAGCAGGCACAATTCAGGGAACACCTTGGATGGGATGCCAGTCTATTGCAGGGCAAACACTTATACCAGGGCCAGTCTATCCAGAAGCCAATTACCCTACCAGTATGTCTTTGGGAGGGCTGTGGAAGGGAACTGGAACACCTGGAGGAAACCCATGCAAACACAGACAGAACATGCAAACTCTACGCAGATAGCACCCCAGGCCCCAGAACGGAGAGGCAGCAATACTGGCCACCATTCCTCCATGCTGCTACTCTTGGTGATCAATTCTTTTTATTTCTGTATTTTATTCTTAATAGTATTCCAGAGCTTAACATGCTTCAAACACATACTGGCTTCCGCATTGAAACACTGAAGATTGACCCTCATGGAAAGCCACACACTACTCTTAAAGTCAGCTCCACCTTTGTGTTGCACTAACACATCCTTATTATAATTAACATATCTAGCTCATTCTTTATACATATTTTTTAATCAGACTAAGATGAATAGTAGACAACATATTAATTTGACATTGATTATTTTTTTAATGAGTAAAAGATAATCTTTATATACTAAATGGTTTATACCTGAACAGTTGCTTTAGGCATCCAGGCTAGGGAAACAAACACCTTCTCCTTGATGTTAAACCCAGCAAACGTCACCATAATAAATGTGAACAGAACACGCACTACCACACCAATGGACAAGGTGGCCACACCAAGACCTGAGAAGACAGTGGATGTGAATTAGAGGCACAAGCAAAGAAAATACACTGGGGATATTTAAGGATATTTAAGAAGTACAACACTCCTGAGATGTCCTGGGCATCCAGTCCTATTTATAATACTGAGCCTTAACAATAACAAGTTAAACAGCTGGATAGAGCACTCTAAACAGAATTAAAAAGTCACATAGCCTGACCTGCATACTGTAACCATAGTAACAGCTTTGTTTCACTTCACTGATGACTAGTTAGACTTCAAAGTGGAAGACAAGATGGACTCTCTTCAATTGCTTTTGAATCTGTCAAAAAATTTTTAGTCTTAGCCTCAAACAGAAAAGACTAAAAGAGGACTTCATTCAAGTTTGCTACATCCTCAAAGGTATTCACATTGTAACAAAGTTGACTTCTTCAGGATCAACAGTGAAACATGAACCAGATTACACAAGTAGAAGCACAATTAAGAACAGGAAGATCTTCTTTACACAAAAGGGTTGTGTGAGTCAGGAACAAGCCATGATGTCAAGCTGTTAAAGCTGATACTCTGGCTTCTTTCAGAAAATGGCTGGATCAGATCCTCAGATGAATTACCTACCCCAAACCAAATGAGCTATATGGGCTAAACGACCTCCTCTAACAGATGTTCTATTCTTATTATATCCATTTTGTCATTACCTTTTAATTAGTTTTCATAGATGTTTATTTCTTTGGTCATCTTCTATTTCTCTTTTGTCTCTTTCTGTGATTTTTCCTGGCCTGTGAATCTACAGTCTTTCAGGTTGTTTACATTTTCCATGACCTAGAATGTTTATGATAATACATTCTTCCTTCATTATAATACTGTGCTCGGATTCAAACACTTCTTTATATACAGTACTTGAACTTTAAATATTCTCATTTTCTAAGAGAATCAAGCCTTAATAATTCACATTTTCTGGCAGAAAAGTACGTAACAGGAAACAAATCTTACCTACTGTATTCGGATTTAGGGAAGACACAGATATTTCTGCTCCAATTAGACCAAAAAGAAGTGGTTGGAAGATGTCCCAGGCCCTTCCAACAACATTCTCCACAGCACCCTGCTCAAATGAGATTAAATGGAAAAATGAAAGCCACTGTAGATGCAGCAGATGACCAAGCAATTTCATATACAAATAAATTAAAAAAACTGATATCTAAACCAGCCAAAATGAAATACAAAACAATAAAGTTATTCCTTCAGAAGAAACATCATCATCAACTAGTCAGTAAAAGAAAGTTGCAAATGACCAGTTTTTATCTGCAATTTAAAATACATTTTCAGATTTTCTTTATAGACTTATGCCATTGTATTGCAACATTTATGCATTATAGAACAATACAATTTGGTCCATATACCGATGAGACCATGGGGAACATATGACAGCACACACCAGAAGGTACTGTCATCAAAGGTGTCCACTGACACTGCCAATAGTGGCACAGCCAGGTTTTCCATAAATGTTATGTCACTGCTCAGACACTCCTGCATTGGATAAAGGGTTTAAATCACAGAGGTCAAGTCAGACGCACCCTAAACGGGAAGAACACCTCCCAGGGAAACCAAGATAAGCTGCTACTTCACTAACTGGCCCACTGACCTTGGAATCCGCCCAACCCATGCCTGCCAGAAACGCCATCACGAGGGTACACAGGCCTCCAGAACCAGGAAACCCAATAACATGACTGCCAAAGACAGCAAAGACGGACAGGCCCAGGAGCAGGAAAGACCTCTTCATCACTAGGTCTTTCTAAAAGAAAAGAAAAACAGAATTAAAGAAGCCACACAGCCTAACCTGCTTCATGTTATCATGGCAAGAGCTTTGTTTTGCTTCAATTATGACTAATTGTTGGACTTCAAGATGGAAGACGAGATGGACTCAGAGCGAAGCCCTTTTGTCTCTGTCCAAGGGGTTAACTGACTCTTTCATATCACAAGCCGTTTTTTCCTTAAGAAATGTTTTCAGTGATCATTATAAGCATGATCAAATGATTAAGAGTCCTTTAATTAAATAAGAAACTAATTGAGCTACAAATCCTGCAACAGAATGAAGATGTAAGAGCCAAGGTCGTGTATTCTTGCTCAATCGCTCCAGTCACTTTCTCACTTTTCTGAACATTTTAGACCAGGGGTCAGCATTCAGTTCTCACCCCAGTCACACCATGAGGTGGCTCACAGTTTAGTAAAAAACACATATGCTGCTGTCTCAGACTTAGATCATACAGTAGGTTTACGTCAGCTAGCACCAACAAATTGCTCGTCTACTTTTTCAGCCTAAAAACTTAAAACAATATGCTTTTACGACAGATTCTCTTCACGTTACACAACAAAGATAAATCTTCGGAACTACATACAGTTGCTGGAGACTAATAAAACTGTCTTTTAAAAAGCATGAATGTGTCAGTAAAAGGCCTCTAAGCCCCCTTTAGTCATTTTGAGGTAGTAGATAAAGCTATTGAAGACACTGGAATTAGGTGTATAGTATACTGCATCCATGACATTAAGAAAAACAAATTGGAAACTTTTTCAAACACATGCAGTGTTTGTAACAACATCCAAAGGTTAAACCCACACCTTCTAAATACACAGTAACATAATCTTATCACAGGTTAATTAATTTTTATTTTATTTTTTGATTATTTAAAAAATGTAATGGCGAAATTAAGTTTTACCTATCTGGGTTATATCTGTTTCTGAAACTATAAATTTGATCCATTGATGATGCAGCAAGGCTGATCTTCCCTTGACAGTAACTGAAATGAACAAAATGATTCCTATGGGCAATGTAAATGACTTTAAAGTAATACTTGAAAGGCGCCTTCCTGAAAGGCTCAACCAGCAGAAATCCTCGCCTGAGCACATGTCGAGCTCTTGCATCACACATTCGAGCTCTGGCCATGTCACTCTGGCCGGCTGTGACTGGGATTCTCCAAGGGCCGGCTCATAGCTGGCTGAGCACTGCTGATGAGAGCATGGGACAGCGCCACCCACAGCCTCTCACAAGCTTGAGAAGTGACAGCCGTGTTTCTGAACTGAACACTGGTGCTGAACCTGCTGAACAGCCCGGAGTTGCGTTTCCTGTGACGTGTGGAAAGACAAGGGAATTGAAAGTGGGAGCAGGCAGGAGGACTGTGTCTACGCTTCCTCATTCTCTCCTTATAGAGGTTTCACAGGGTTTGGAGAACAAAATCCACTCCACTGGCTATTTCAAATTGGGTGGGAGTAAAAAAACAACTGACATTTGAAAAGGAAAAGGAACAACACGGTGAGATTTGTTTGTCATTATAGCACGGAAGTTTACCTGATCTTTGCTAGGGAAAAAACGAATAAAAAAGCCCAAAACCACTCCAGCGATTATTCCTCCGGCCACTTCCATGATCCCTCTGAAGACATTGTATATGGTGGATCCTGCACAAGAAGCCCAGGAAGAATGCAAAAGGACAAAGACAATAGTGGGTACAGACTCCAACACCTTGAAGCGACCTCAGGAAAACCAGGAAGGACACACAGTGTAAGGCTTGTGTTTAAACAAACTCCCAAAACTAAAAGCTTGCTGACTTTTCCAAAAGAGTGATGAAAGATAAACCTGAACTAACCAGGACCTTTGCCCTCAGTTGTGCTTCAACCATGGTCAGAAAGCAGTTTTTCTAGAA